TTAATGATTCTATGATTCTATGATAACTGCAGTGCAGAATGTAATTTACACTTTTACGTAGAAACACTGTGTTTGGATACAAAGCAGATACATAATCCAGTAGGGTATTTCTTTCTTCTACATACAGTTAATTACTCATTGTCTCTCCTTCTGGTGGTTGTTATTATCAGCTAATCTAAAATGGGATTCATAGGGTAAAGTCACTGGTCTTACTGCACTGCTTTAGTGGTGAAAACCCTGATGATGAATGGAAAGTGACTTTGTGTCCTTTGTTGACTTTTGGGCACCAAGAAAGGCACTGCTAAGACTTGGCGTGTATCACTTTCAGGAGTATGATTTGGATGGTCGCATTTTATTTAGTATGTGTTAAAAAATGTGTTAAATACTTTGTTAAATAATGATGGTAAACTAGAATTATAGTTTTGCTCGCAAAGGCAGTATATCTGGATTGCTTCTGCATTGCAGTAAGTTGGAATTTTACCATTTGCTTAAATTCAAAGCCAGATCAGGTCCACAGAGGATTCCAGTGTTTGTCTTGATCCCTTTTCAAAATGAACCATGGACCTATATGCACAGCAATGCCTGTTGCAAAGTCCTATAATGCCAAGTGCAGAATATCAAGGGAATATTGTCTTAGCGCTATGGAAGAGTAACCATATTGTTCTGTATCATCTGAGTTTTAATGATTCTAAAAACTTTTGAAGTCTAATTTCCATAATAGTTAACAAAAAGCTTCATGTGTTTTTTAAATAAGGAATAATTGATTGGCACTTTAATTTGAAAATGTAATACAAGTGGTGGACAACAATGTTTTGATAAACTATATGTAAACCAAGATGCAATCTGTAGCCGTTTTGTTTTTCTTGGATCAAACTAAATACTAATGCTGTTACTTTTTCAGTTCTGTAAATTTTGCATGTTTTGAAAGCTATCAATATACTACTTAGCACATTTTTCTAATGATTTGCTTATGTAGCATTTTGGTTTTGATTCGATAAGGTTAAAGGTGTGTTTTTATAAAACAGGCTGAAATTGAGGCTCAACTAGCTAGAGAACGAGAAGAGGAAACCCAGCACCAGGCAGTTCTTGAACAGGAACGTCGTGATCGTGAACTTGCAATGAGAATTGCCCAGAGTGAGGCAGAACTCATCAGTGATGAGGCTCAGCTTGATTTAGGATTGCGCAGGTACGGGGTTAAGTAGTTAAATTTCTCTTTTTTTTTTTCTTCCCCCCCCTTCCTATCCTGATCCCTTTGAGAATATGCTCTTGTTGGTTTTATATATTTTTCTATTAATTAAATGGACCTTTTAAGTTGGTGTATTGGAATATTTTTCAAATTAACTTGTGAAATTTAATAGAAATAGATTGCTTTTGCTTAAAGACTTTGTCCATTTTGTGTCTTGCTGCATCAGTAATTTAGTAGGTGCTTGTGAATACAACTGCAGTTCTAAAAAAAATGAGTTCTGGCAAGGATGGTAACCAACTTAAATTATGATTTTAATGACTCATTTAAAGTAGTGAATGGAATTTCTTCAGTGGTAAGTAGTAATAAAATATACCCTTTCTGGTACTTGATGGTTCCAGTAGTATAGTGTGAATTTTTGTGTGTGTTTTTTAACAAGAATCCCTCTTTGAATGCAGAAATAGTAGTTATTTCTGTGTCCTGACTGGTAAGTTTTTTTTAAAGTGGAATGAATATATTTAACATGGGTTTGAGAATTAAATGTTGTCTTAAATGTTTTGTTTTGTTTTGTTTGAACTTTTTGATGTGTCACAAGAAGTGCTTGACTTTTGGTATACAGATCCACGCTGCCTGCAAAGCAAGAGCTCTTCATGTGTAAAGGTGATGCCTCAGAAGCTTTATAGCCATATGTACATGTAATTAATTGATGTATTTTCTAACCGTGTTGCTTTGTTTCTTCCCTGGAAAGCATTTTTAAGATGTGCTCTCTGCATAGTTCTCCTAAGGAGAAAAACAATTTGTGCTTTTTTTTTTTGATAGAGTTCTGATTTCAGATTACCCAGTTCAAATATGATCAAGATAAACATATCATTTAACAAAGTTTTGCTGCCCAGCCAGGGCACTTCCTAAAGGGTCTGTATGTTAATCAGGGTTCAATGAAAAGTGAGTTAGGGCTCTTGGCTTTCTGTTTCTATACCAAGAACACAGCAGTGTTGGGAAAAGTGTAGGTGAGAATTTGGCATACAGTTCCAGTAAAAGTGGTATTTATTGGTCAAATTGCATATAGGTACCTATGAACATGATCACATCATTGGTGACTTCATTAGTACTGGTCTACTCATTTTGTTGTTGTTGTTGAAAGAAGAGGGTGTAAGAAAATCCCAAGTATTTCCATGGAATTTGAAGCTCCCAGATGTCTTCTCTTTGCTACTCAAATTTTATCTAGATGTATACTTTTCTTTTTTATTAACTGTATGCGTATGTGAGATAGCTAGGTAATTTTTTTGTCATATACAATACTGATTTTTAGACACTTCCACTAAAATTATTGTGGTTTTGCCCTCAGTTACACAATAGCTGTCATATTGTTTCAGATAACACTTTAACATGCTCAGTTGGATGTCCAAGTGCTTCACAGACAGCATTCTGGAGATTTTCGTACTTTCCCTGTTTGAATTTTAGTGCAATACTTTGAAGGTAAATCCAAAGTCACTCTAGTGTTGCAACCTGGCAAACTTCTCTTAAATATGAAAGAAGGGAGGCATTAGACAAGAAGGGCTCAGAGAATTCAGTAACTTTTTTGTCAGTGAAGCTCTGATCTCCACAGGGTTTTCTACTGCTCATGGGTGATGCTGGTATTTGTCTTCCTTGTATAGTCCCGGAATGGATGATGAACTAATCGTCCTTATAGTTATAACTGCCAGTTTCTCTCGGCTGTGTAGCTGGCAGTACGAGAATGAAGACTCTCTTCTGAATGATTGGAAAGTGTGGAATGGTCTGAACAAGTTAACAAGATAATACATAAATTGAGAAAAAAGCAGTGGAGAGATTTTTCTGCTTATATGAGATTTCTTTTTAGCTCATTAGCAAAATTTTTTCTTTCTGTTTCTGCAGTTCACTTCAAACAGTTTTAAGCATGTCCAGAAATTCTTTTAATTTCACCTTTGATTTGATTTTTTTTTTGTTTGTTTAAAAACAAAGTAAAACGTTCTCCAGACCCCAATATCTTCTACTGAAATCCAAGGGTAGATTTCCATGTAACTGCAGGAATCAGCTTAAAGGTAGAAGCTGTGGGAATTCTTCTCTGAAATGAAAACTATTTATTGGTTTGAACAAAACATGTAACTTAATAATTTAAACATAAATTCTTAGGACTTACTCTAACTGATATAAATTAAAATTTTACTAGAGTCTAATGAAGTTATATTCTGCCATCTTCTGGATTCGAGACTTGCATATTACCATATGATACACTGAAATCACTGTGACTTTTATGTATGTATGTTTCCATTTTCTGTTAAAATTTTGCTGTAGAAGGATAAAGCATGTATCACTCCATACTGAATTCATGCAGTATACTGGTTCTATAGTGTTTTCACACAATTTTGTAAAAAATCATTTCATGCTGAAACATTGGCATGAATAAAAGCATATTTTCCGTTGTGCTGTACTACCTGTGGGGTGAAAATACTAAGAACAAGGTGATTTTTATGTGCCATTTTGAAAGAACTCTTGTATTTTGCTTATTTTTAAGGAACGTATGGTACTTGCGTGTTGTCATATTTGAGAATGAGTAGCCTCTACTTTATTTCTCTTCTCCTCAATGCCTTGCTGCATTCACCATTAGTTTTTATAGATATTTAAAGGTTCGTAAGTATTGGTAGTTTCATTGAGAAATATACTCGTTGGCTCCTGTCAAAGAACAAAGGTTGTTTATTCTGGCAGTAGATCCAGCATTTTTATTTGTGCTTATTCTGTGCTGGATATGCTGGACTTCTCCTCGCTTCATCCAATTTTATTACTTATCCACAACTTGAAAGCATGTGTAATAAGGGATTTACTGCACCTGCGGGTACTTGCTTAGCACTTAAGTAAAAAATTAGTTAAATAATAGATAGCTGTTTTCAACTGTGCAATATTTTTAATTTGTGGCTTATTGAAACGTGTAGCATATAGCACCAAAATAAGGTAGCGTCAGTGAAGGTGTTGTGAGTATATTTGTTCTCTGCGTTCCGTTGGAACAATCCAAGTAAGTTCTAATTTGTAGCATATTCAATGCTACATGTGTGTACGTGTGGGTCTTCAGTATGGCAGTTAAACTCAGTGTCTTTTCTCAGCTTGCATGAAGAAGCTATCTGTCCCGTTCCCAGAGTAGCTACATGAGGATTGCTGTTATTTCTTGTGATATGCTTATCCAGGCATAAAATATATCAGTAGCGTGTCTCAAAATCTTTGATTTTGAAAGACTGGGGCGGGGGTGGGGAGGAGGGACAAAGGGTGGGAGAAGTTTTAGCTTGTACATTTTGTCCAGATTATCTTAATTTAACTTTTTAAAAATAATTTAACATTCATGATTGGATGAGAAAGGTGAAGAAAAAAGGTCTATATAATCCTGTTTCTCAGTAAAAAAAAAAAAATAATCATAAGATAGTAAGTAAGATGATAAGATGTGAGAGAATAGGAAATACTATGACCCACCTTTTTCCACTTCAGTTATTAGAAAGGTAAATAAAAAGTAGTCTATCTAACATAAATATCTTCTATTTGCAGAGCCAATGGAACAAAGCTGCAAATGACTGCGTATGGCATTTTTTTCCATTTGAGTGCTCTAGTAGGGAAAAAAGCAACACTAATTAATTTAAAGGAAACTGATATTGTCCTCTTATTTACTAATACCCCATAATAATCTTTATTAACATGCATCTGTAAACTTCAAATCAGTTTGTAATACCTTATATCCACTACTTTGCTTATGTCTAATAAACAAGTTAATAATCTAATATACCTAATAATATGTATTTAAAGATGATTATATAATTAGTGTAAACTTTTTTACATACCATCCATTTTTCATTGCCCTGTGTGATTTATTGCTCTTTACAGAATCAGGACTGTGTATATATATATATATCAGAATGGAAATTATTTAAAATAAATAGCCTTTTTTTGTGCATTTTAATTAGCTTCAGTTTGGTTGGCAAGAGACTATCACAGTTACAAAGGCTGTTTTTATATTGATATGTTTGGTTTATGCTTATTTATCAATTTTCTTATAGGGAACAAATGGCCACAGAAATGTCAGAAATATTGTCTAGGTAGGTGAGAAGACAACACCAAACGAATCAATCATTTTATAAAAAGAAATCACACGTGAAATGGGTTGAATTATTATGGAATGAAAAATAATGGAATCTGGGGTTTTTTTTAAGTGCTAAGCAGATAAGTAAATTATTTCTTTCACATAAATTTCCTTTATCAACACCTTTTTCCCAGCAATTATTTTTCTGCTATTTTAATTGATTATATGGAGGAAAAAAAAAAAAAAAAAAGAATAGTTCACCCTGGTATTTTGTGTAATTTTGATAATGTTCCTCCAGCTTTCTTCTCTTTTTACTTTTCTTATAATGATAATAGAAAACTAGGCTCCACATCTTTTGAAGGAGGATTTCTACAGATTCAACACAGAGTTAATGAAGTTATTTAATGTTAATGTAACTGTTAGTGCTTTTGATAAGAAAATATTCTAGTTATAATTCCCTTCAAATAAAAGCAGTTTTGAAAATTACAATGGTAAAAGCATATTAAAACCCCTCTTCAGACATCTGAGATTTCTTGAATGTTAGTGCAAGATTTTATGCATAATGCAGGAGGAAAGGAGAATGCAGGTTTAGATCTGAATGCAATTCTATCGTAACAGTCTCATACTAGTTTGTGTTGGAATACTAATTCTCTGTTGAAAGAAATTGTTATAATGTCCTCCATATCAGTGAGTAATTAGAAAGTGTTTTGTGCAACTTGAGGACAAAAATCACCTTTTGACATTCATTTTCTGAAGTTTACATAAGAAGCGAAATTGTTTAGAGGTTTTAAAAATGAATCTGTTGTTAAACAAGCTACTATGCTATGTATTTATAGTCTGAAGACGATCGGTCTCGCATGATTGATGGGTTTCCCAGTTGTAGCATTGATAATTGAGAACACAGCTGTTAACTAAATTTGTTTCACACAGTGGCATTTTAAGAATAGGAATAAAAAACATTGTGTGTAATCAAGTTAGCATGTGAATTTAGATGGCTAGATTGTATTGCATATATTGACATAGTTCCAGTGACAATGGCCAATTCTTAATGTGCAAAAAAATCACAAAACTTTGGGGCAAAATCAGAGGCTCTGTGTTTTGGCTGAATTCAAAATGCAATACTCCTTGCTGCATGCCTGTTTAACTACTTTTTTTTCACTTTTCATATACTGGAAACTTTTGACTTGAGACTGATTTTTTTAAGTCTGAAAATACTGTTTATGATACATAACTTTGTCAGATTGAGCGGTGAAGACTGATTGTCAAGTATGATGCTGCTCTTACTGCCAGACTTACGCTTAAAGTCGTGTAGAAAACGAAAGAGTGATCTGCAGAGTGCAGAGTAGTACTGTAATGGAAAGGCTAAGCCATTCAATTGGATTAGCATTCTTAAAGATTACTAGTTTAACCAGAGATCTTACAGCCTAGTTCTGCTGCTCTAAATTATGTAGCAAACTCTTAAAGTGGTGGGTAGTGTTGCTAATTAAGGAAAATCCTTAGGATTTGTCAAATTAGATTCAAGAAGGTTAGACACCAGGTAGCGGAAATTACATTTAGCAGCAATCCTTTAATGTCCTACAGGTATGCCAACAGTAGCAAAATATTAAAATATATATTTTTGAAGGAGACTCTCTATCTAATGATTTGTTCTACGTTTATGAGTAGTGCTAAGGGTGAGGAAAAGTTCCTGTCCCTCAGCTATGTACTGATTAAAAGTCAAAGAGGTTTTTTTTATGTCAGACTTCTCACATACCATAACTGGAAGCTGTGTGTTGACTCAGATCGGTGGTATGAGTAGGCATAATTAAGCTGATGCTGCAATAAACAGTAAGATTCTGTAGTTTTAATTACATCTGAAGAGATGGTTCAGTTGCTATTAAGAAGAACATTTGGTTAAACAGTTTTATTCTATGAAACTTAAAAATAAATTGCATTTGTTATCTCTGCTTTCAGAACTGCTGTATCTACATAGAAAAATTTTTCACAGAAAATGTATTTATAGCCTATTAAGTAAAAAGGGAAAATAAACAACATAAAACTTCGTAGTCCCACATGAGACCTTTATGGAAAAATAAACTTTAAAATAAAATTTACTGGATTATAAATACTGTAATAATGTAACAGTCCCACAAAGATACTGCTGCACAGACTTTAACTGAAAAGGCCTGATTTCTTCTGTTTTTCTCTCTTCTGAATTTTTAAAGTGACATACTGCATCGAGTGTTTTGCTACCCTGTTAAAGATCTAGTTTCTTCTAACAAATCCTCTCAAATCCTGAAAGATAATTCAGTTTGCCTCATGTTCTTAGTCACAGGCATTAACAGTGGTTGGTAAAATCACGTGTCCGTTCCTGAATTCCTTAGTGTTTAAAAAGTATTCTGGTCGTCACTGAATGTTGGAGTGTTTTGAACTTAGTTTATATCCAGATAATCCATGGGAAGTTTGCCGTTCCTAAGGGGGAGTTCTTCCACTTCTTATCAATACTATTTTTAAGGAGAAAAAAAAAAAAAAAATTCAGGTTTAACTTTATACATATACATGTAATCTTTGTTACATGGGTAACCTTATACATACTGTTAAAGATGATGGAGAGTTTACTAATAATTTCTCACTTGCATTTTTTGTTGGCTTTATTGCATACTACCTACATGATGAATATCTTTTGTCTTTGAAAAACACTGTTTCTAGATGAGTCTTTTTATACTGGTCAGCCTTTCTGCTGAGATTGGTCTTTTTTCCCTTGGTATCTCTTAATGATTGTTTCTCCCCTACCCCGCCTTGCTGTTCTCAGACAGCTAATATACAATTAATACAGAATCAACTTGATTTCTTCTCTCAAATTAGACTTTTGTCAAAGACATGGTATATTTTCTCTAGTCTTGGATCAAGGATTTTGTCCTAATCCAGTTTTAAACAGCAGAGGAAACGCCTTTTCTCCCTTCCTGTCTACTTCAGAAATATTTTTCCGTGTCTGTTTTTCTAATGGAACTAAAAGTGTGTTTGGCCACTCTTTGTTGTCTGTATTCTGCATCTTGACTAGTACCAAGAAAAATGTACATCAGCGTGGGGTGGGGTACACGTGAATAGAATATGCGTCTTTTCACACTTAAGTGCTAACTATTAATGACAATTCCTCTTTATCTCTAGGCAACCAATCAGATTATTATGTAATTTTGGACATAAAAGATGCTTTCACTTTTTCTTAATCATTTGAACATCTGGAAAATAATATGGTACTTTACCTTCAAAGGTAAAGTCCCTTCAGTCCCTCTGCTGCTGATTTTCATTGTAATAAGCGTGCTGCAGTGTTGATCGTGGGATCTCTTTCTCCTGTTGTAACAATTCTTGTTTCATACTTGAAAAAATACATACTTTTTTATTTAATAATTATAGGGGTCCTTCAGTGCAAGCCACGAAAGCTGCTGCTGGTACTAAGAAGCATGATCTCAGTAAGTGGAAATATGCAGAGCTTCGTGATACAATCAATACATCCTGTGGTAAGTCGTTTGGCTTTTTTTTTTCTGATTTGAGAAAGTCAAGTTGTAGTTTTACGAAAGGTGTTACTTTCTTCCTATGACAAAGATAAAAACTTGCTCATTAATTTATTCAGGTTTGAATGAATGTCAAATTAATTTTAAAAAGTCTATTACCCCAAAGAGGACAGCAAACTAAGCTATTTCCATATTGAGGAAACAGAATTTCGTTTGTTACCTCCTTTACTGATTATATATTTATGATGTTAAACTGCTTGGGCCATAAAATACATGTTATAATTTCTTAAATTTCTTAATTAAATTGTCTCAGTTTTATGTATTTCCACAAAGGGAGTAATAGTTATTATGCTTTACCTAGAATTTGCGTGTTCTAGGAAATTTTGTGCTTTTATTTCTTGCTGTCACCAAATCACAAAAAAGCAAGTATGTCATGTAAAGCACAGCGTAAAATATTTTCTGTCTTAGATGTTCAGATTATTCTTTAATTTTCAGAATGTGTAACTTCATTTGGGAAGTTCACAGTTGGGACGTTAATTACTTTCCCCCCAAAGTTATGAAGATAGAAACACATAAGAATTATTCCTTTATTAAATATTAGTGTTTCTTCCTGCTTCTGACTGAAAGCATTTGGTTAATTTCTGATTTAAGATAACTCCCTTGATGTAGAAATTGGAAACAAAGCCATTCTCTCTCTTTGTATTTAAAACCCAAAGTTAGCTCCGAATTTGAGCTGTGTCTCTATTGTTTTCACACATGCAAGACTGGAGCAATGTTTTCAGTTGAATAGGTGATGCAGTAATACATGGTGCTAATGTGTGTTCATCCCTAATGAAGCCAGTTTGGATACTCTTAGGTGACTAATGAAAAAGCCTTGCAATCATTCTTAGTATCATGAAAGTCAGCAAAATTAAAATATATTTAATAAAGTGGAAAAAGAATCTAGATCTGAGCAGTCAAATTGCTGATTTTCTTTTTTTTAGTGCAGAAATAAAGTTCAGTGGTGAAATTTTATCTGTTTCTGTACTGCTTGGCTTGTGATAATGTCAGACAAATTTAGCGAAGTGAAAATTTTATTTGTAGCATTTCACTGCTCCAAATCTCACAGTAGAACAGCTACTTTGGGGACTGCCGTTCCTCTAAAGGAGAAAAGGATATATAGCACTCCAAGGATCTTTCTGGGCCATAAAATACAGGCCCTGTTGCTGCAGAGAATGAGGGTTTATTATATGGTATTATATGATACTATATTATATTATAAGATATTAGTGTTACAAATTGATCTAAAATTATGTACCTATCAATATAGAAAAGCATTTAGTAAATAATTTTTCTGATTTTTCTCACTCCTCCCTTCCTTCCTCATTTTTGAGACAGATATTGAACTGTTGGCGGCTTGCAGAGAAGAGTTTCACAGAAGGCTAAAGGTATATCATGCTTGGAAATCCAAGAATAAGAAACGCAATGCAGAAACAGAACAGCGTGCTCCCAAATCAGTCACAGACTATGGTGAGGAGAAATAATTTTGTGTTTATAATAATTTTGGTGACAATATTCTAAAGAAAACGTTTCTCGAATGAATTTCGGTTTTGCTAGGTTGAAGGAAATTCTTGGGTTTTTTAGAGTATTTTTATATTGATTTAGGGTAAATATTTTGAAAAGATTGTAACTGGCAAACACTTTGCAGAAAGTAGAATACTTTCAGGAGACCCAGATACATGTAGTGAATAGCTCTCCCTAAAACCTTTTCTCATACCAACTCACATCTGTTAAAAATAGTTCTTGATTTGGTGTTGCAGTTGCTGGCATTTTTGCTAAATGTTCATTGCTGTGCTACTTAAGACTAAGGAAGATCATTTTCCATTTATGAAACTGTGATTTGCATTTTGAGACTTTTGAGACTTTGTTTTTAAGGTTGTTCATACTAGTTCTGACCTCTGTAGTTAGAAGTGTTGCTTTCTGAGAGTAGTTAGTGATGGTTCAGAACAGAGAATTGTACCTAAGGATAGAATAGAGATTCTAAAAATAGTTCTAAAGTAGTCCGTCTATCAGAGAATTGCATGTGACTTTTTTGGTGCTACAAAAAACCAGATTGGAAGGAATCATGCTCTGTTACGTGATTCAGTATTACATTTGGGGTCCAGACAAAACAAAAAGTACTGGTGATAAGGGTTTTTTCTCATGTTTTTATTCTTTCGTAAGATACAGATACACAGACATAGATGTAGATACTTTTAAAAGATGCTATTAATTTTCTTATTTACATTACTGTAAGCCTTATATATTTCAGGTTACATTTTCTTTTTTAAAATTCTATGACTGTTGATACTGCAATTTTTGATTATGGGATGACAAATTTTGCGTAGTCCCTGCTTTCTTATTACATTGTCATTCTGCTGATTTCACAGATGGATGTTTATTGTCAAAGCAATGCACTAAAGAGAATAAGCGACTGCCTTTTAAATTCAATAAGAAGGTGTAGGAGTTACCGTGTTTAACACTGCCAGACCTGAAAATTAGGTGCCCGGTTTCTGGAGTGGTATTTGCAGAGTGGATTGTTACTCTTTACCACACCCCCCAAGTCCAGTGATTGTGTGTTATAAAAGGAATCTAAGAAATGAACAGAATCACAGCAAGTGGATATAATAATTCAGTCAGATCTTTCCTGCGGTCTTCTGGTTCCATGGTTCTTGTGTTCCTGGCCACACAGTTAATGGGAGAGATAGAGGAAAGGGAAGATGGGCAGAAGATGCTCTCTCCAAAATTCCGTTAGTCTGGGATTAGAGCATTGTCCTGGGACATGGAGGATACAGATCCCAGGGGATACAGGTGCCCTACTTACTGTCAGTGTTAGACCTTATACAAAGGCGTCTCCTTCCCCTTGATTCATTTACTGAGTTACGGGTTGCTTGGGCATTACCTGAGAATTTGAGCTTTTCAGGGAACTTTGGTACAGATATATGGCAGGTGAAATCTGGACCCTAGGAAAGATGTTATCAAAGAATGGGTCGGGTCCTTGTGGCCATGCCTAGTAATGTGGTTTTAAGTGCTTAAGAAAGCTTATGACTGAAACATCCGGAAAATGCATTTGAAGCACTTTCTGCAAAGTGGTAAGTTGCTTTGAATTTGAGCTTGCAAATTCTGTCTGGAGCTAAATTGGCAAAATAAATATTCATGCACAGTATTGCTGATGGGAAGTACCAAAGAGCAGAAAATCTTTGGATTTGTGCAAATAAAGCTTGGAATATTCATGATCTCATTGCATTTAGTTAGACATTTACAGCATTCTTTTCAATGTTTTTCATTGCATTTTTTTACTTTTCTTGAAATATGGCTTGATATTCCTGAAGAAAAGTTAGAACATTGCAGTTCAGAAGAAGGGCACTGATAGTGACTTTTAGAGGCTCTCCTTAATTTCAGAAGTAATTCTACCTATTGCAAATAATTATACTACATGGGCATTTCACATCTATGTATTGTAACGATCTGAGAAGGTAGTAAGAAGGAACTCTGATTTCTTAGATGTTTAAGCTAAAAGTCTTTTGGGTGTCAGTGGATGTGTGCTTCAAATGATCTAGTTTCTTCTTTCTGTCTTTTCACTGATGTCATATAATTTTACAGGTATCCTTTAATTAAATTCATACATCCAGTATAGAAGCTAAACACTGATTTGTGTATTATTATTGGAATAGGCAGATTTGGTATTAATAGAGGTCTAGAAATTTTTTCCTAGCAGAAATGTCCAAAATTAAAAGTACTACATTAATTAACTAGCAGATTTGTTACAGCAATTGTGCTTAGCATGTATACAACTGAGGTTTTGTAATAGGCATCGCAAATCATTGAAGTAAACAATTTCAAAATTAAATCCTGGTGAAAATAGAAGCAGTTGGAAATCTATGAAACTTGAGGAAAGGAGACATTTTATATATGTCAGTGAGCAGAAAATGAATAGAAATACTTAGCTCAACATCTGTGTTTATTTTGTAACTAGAATTTCCATTTGTCTATCATCAGCATTGGTGAAAAATGTTGAGGTAATGAAACTATAACTTATAAAGGATCAGCACTTTTATGTTTTGTTCAACATGTAATATTTGTTCACAGATTTTGCACCATTTTTGAGCAACTCACGTAAGTGGGGAGATGGTTATTTAAGCTAACTTTGAAGAGTAGGAACACCTGAGAGCTCTATACTAACATTAATTAATCCAGTGTTTTGCTACAAGTGTACATAGAATTTAATTGTTCAAAAAAATTCTATTTTACAATTTGGCAATGTTATTCAACTGATGGTAATTATATGTTTCTCTAGTAATTTACGGGTGTACTTTACTGCTTATCTTTATGAGATCCTACCCCTTTGAGCAGTCATGGGAAGGGAGAATGAAATAACCTTTTTATGTAGGTTATTTGAAGGTATAATCTCCTATGTTTTTTTTTCCTGCTCTCCCCAAGAAATACTGTACTTGTTCTAACATTTTTTATTGTCTGCACATGGCTTTTTGTTGTAGCAAAACTCTGGAATCAACTTAACAGCTATTTTCCTAGCACAAAAACTAACATTCAGGTGATGGTTTCTTTTGAATAAAGAACTACAGTTCCATAGTACTGAAAAGTAGAGGCTATACTGGCTGCTTAGCATTCATGTCTTTTAGATTTCCTCTTGGATTTAGGTATGCGTAGGGGTAGAAATAAGCCTTAGCAATTACCATTGCAGTGCAAAAAGTGTTTGACAATACTAAAGCACTGATCTGCTGTGTTAGATGTTCAGACTATTTGCAGAAAACAGAATTAATTTTCTATAAACTGTAGATTATGTCTCCCTGTAAAATACATGCTTTATCAGAGTTGATGTATAAAAGTAGCATTTACCTATTAAAATCTGTTTTGTTTTTCTTCTCTTTGTTTATGTGGACATGGAAAAAAAATTGGGGGGTATGATTTGTATAGTACTTTTTTTTTTTTTTTTTTTAAAGATTCTGTTCTTCACATTTAGAAAAACTTTTTGCTTGAATCTAAGTGGAAGAAATTTCAAGATGCAGTTGCTAGTCTATTAGCCTTGTTCATAACTGTAAAAATACATTATTAGAAGTGATTGTCATTTTTCATTTTATTACATTTTAGCTCAAAAATTAGCTTTGCTGCTTAATAGACAATGGACAAAAAAAGAATTCACTTTTAATTATTCCCTTTATGCTGAAACATGGAACTGTTAATACTGATTTTCGTTTGTAGAGATGGCATAGATTCACATTCAGAATTTCTTAAACAGAGTATTTGTAACACTGGTATTGTAAACCACTAAGACAAGATCAGTAATAAACTTTTGCGGGAGGCAGTTATTAAAAGAAAGGATCTTGCCTTGTAAGAGCATTTACTGTTTAAAACTGATTATGATAGTATATACATAATATTAAGAAGGTTGATCAGCTGATGAGTTAACATAGAAAGTTTTTCCTTTTATTCAAAGGAAAGTTTCTCTCCGAAGTCTGAAATGTGTGAGATTCTGAGGGAGTCCAAAAATGCACATGGGAAATGTTTACCAAAAATATATATGAAGCTTTAAAAGATTTCATGTGACTCTGCTTCCTTTAGAAGTTTGGTCTGTTGATCTTAATGGTCTGAAGTAAACAATTTCTTTAAAAAAGAAAGCAGCCAGAGGGTAGTTCTAATGCTGGAGTTTAGTACACAGAAAGCTAGATAGAAAGTTTTGTTGGTGGCAATATTTGTTGCCAACATTTCTATTAACAAATTAGTCATTTCTAACAGTATTACACCCCCTTCTGTGTTGACTGTCAAAAATTTCAAGTCGTGCTTTGTATTTTTGTAACTGAAAATGCTTCTTTGCGCTGTGACCTTGTTTTACAAAGAGATGGACTGAAGTAGAGCAGTTACTCATTAATGTTTCTGGTTGGTAAGAAATTTTATATGGGAAGTTTTACCTTAAATATTGATTTAAAGCAGAAAGTGTTATTTTACTCTATTTGTTTTGTCTAAACGTGCCTGATGCCATTGAGCAACCTAGTATTACATATAGATACAATAGTTAACGTGAGCCTTTCCTCACCAGTATTGTAGCTGTAGTGATAAAAAGAATACACATTGTATGAGAAGGGAATACTTTTTAGGTTTGATGAGACTTCAGATGACCTTCTATTCAGAGAGAATCTCTCAGGTTTGTGGGGGTTTAGTTTGTTTGTCTTTTTGTTTGGTTTGGTTTTTTGGTTTTGTTTTTTTTTTTTACTTTGCTGGTTAATCAAGCAAGTCATAATACGGCTTTCTTGTTTTCTATTTTTTTGTTTTCTTGTTTTTTGGGGTTTTTTTGTATGATAGCTCAACAGAACCCGACAACCCAGCTACCAGCCAGGCAACAAGAGATTGAAATAAACAGACAACAGCGTTACTTCCGCATTCCCTTCATCCGTCCCGCAGACCAATACAAAGATCCCCAGAACAAGAAGAAAGGCTGGTGGTATGCGCATTTTGATGGGCCATGGATTGCTCGACAAATGGAACTTCATCCTGACAAGGCACCCATTCTCCTTGTAGCGGGTTGGTATTGAAAGCAAAATTCAAATGTTGAAAAGGTTCAGAGTTGATAACTTTCTTTAGAAAAAGAGGCTGATGATACACGTTTCCCAGGATGTATCCTCTTTTTTTCATCAGCAGTTCTTGTCTGGGCAGAATTTGAGGATTTGGAACCGCTGTTGATGATGGCCAAATGTTACGGAATATCATTTGGAGATGTAACTTGTCATGTGTTTTACTTGTACATGTACTTTAATCTGGGAAATCATAGGCAGAGTAGGAATCCAAATGTAAATGGTTTTATTATTAAGTGTCCTCAGATTATTCACTGAACTGGAGACAGCATGAAGATAAAACATCATAATTTATCTGGGAAAGTTCTACTCATCATTGTATTGATTTTTAGTTAGCTTTGAAAAATTACAGCAGTTTGTATTAAAACAATTTGCGCATATGATATATTGTCTTTCCATAGTATGGTGCTAATAGCAAACTGATGCTTTTACCATATTTATGCTGCCTAGTATGGGAGAATAGCTTTTTAATCTTAATCACTTAAAATAAAAACTAAATGTGGCAGTGGATAGGTAGAGATTTATTTGGTAACGAAATGTATCCTCCTTTTCTGGAGGATAATGAAAGGGGGAGAAAACACTGGAGAAATGCTGTTTACAGTTCTGTATTTTAAGTTTTTGTATTTAACGTGGGGACTGAGGAAAAGGCCATAACCAATTTGTTTAGCTTCAGAGTGATGCTTTACTAGCAACAGAAGTTCCTTTGTTTTCTGCTAATTATTTTTAATAGAATTCCTTGTAGCAACTGGTGCCTGTTCAGTATCAAAGCCCATAGCTAAAAGTAGCATTGCTGTCATGAAAACCATGTTCAATGGATCACTTATTAAAAATAAGATTAAAATATAGTGAGTGAGCTACACTCATTTCATTGGATTCCTTGTGTCAGTCCCGTTTGGTAAACGCTGTTTGTTTAGCATGGGAGGCTGACAGATTAAGAATACTGGCTACTTGATGAAAAGTCTCGAGTTCTTAGTCACTTTGCTACATTTAAACAAATTAAATAACAACAGCAGTTCACTGTAAAACTGTGTAAAACTGAAAGTGTGTAAAACAAATGCGGTTGTTATCCCGTAGTGGATTTCAGGTGAATATATCAAGATGCTGATCTTCTTGGCTTCTTTCCTTTGTTCCTTTCTGCTCACTTTTTAAGCATAATTTTGTCAGTTGCAGCATCTGATACTAGTTTATTCTGATACTGCTTTTCTGCTCTGTGTGTTTAAGGAGGGGAAAAAAAAAAAATCTGTGTCTGAGGACAGATTTCCCCATAAGCTCTGAAGTCTATTAACAAACCAGAGCTTGAGAGAGAAATCTAATTAACAGAGATCTAATTTTTGTTAATGGGACATTTGAATGATGTAAAAACTTTATAAAGATTTTTCTTTTTCCCTTTATCATTTCAGGTAAGGATGATATGGATATGTGTGAGCTTAATCTTGAAGAGACTGGCTTAACTCGAAAGCGAGGTGCTGAAATTTTGCCGAGACAGTTTGAAGAAATTTGGGAGCGCTGTGGAGGTATCCAGTATCTTCAAAATGCAATTGAAAGCAGACAAGCTCGCCCGACGTATGCTACAGCTATGCTGCAGAACCTATTGAAATAAATGGTCATTTTGCACAGTAGCATTCAAGATGAGAACCCTTGCCCGTGATACAAAGGGAAGAGTTCCTCTGCACAACAGAGGACATAAATGTTCTATAATCGTATTAGAGATGTTTAATATAAAGTGAACAGATTTTATTAATCATGTGGTTTGTTAATTTGTACTTTATGATGTTTAATTTGTGTAGTGAACTTTACTAGGTATGAGGACCTTGAAGAAATTTCAGTCCATGTAGTTTGTTGCATTTTGTTTATATGTTGCTTTTTCTTTAACAGTTTCTGTTATAACTCTTAACACTTTTAAGCAATCTGTCTGTACTTGGGTACATATTACAAAGAACAGCATTGCAACCACCTTTTTATAAAATCTCCTCTTTAAAACACTGAATAGTTGGCTTCAAGTGGTGGCTTAGTAAACAGGATATGCTGTTTCTAATAACTGGAATTGTGAGGCCTTACCTTTGACTTCTGTTCTGGAGAAGTTGGAGTATACTTTTATATCATCGGAGACATTTTATGTCCTGATTTGAAAACTGGTTAGTGTCTGTATTTACTGACTTTTTCAGAAACTGATGGGAAATCCTCCTAAACTTGGGACCCATAAATTCCTATTTAATGCATTCTCTGTCTTGGTTTAAGAGAAATGGTTTTCTGTACATTCTGAGAAGAGTGTTCATATATGTCAATAGTGTGTAGTATTGGGCGTACTCAAAGAATGTACTGCTCATTAGGGCTTATACCACTTAGTTTCTTTTTCTTTCTTCTCTTTAGTGCAAATTTCGTTTAGACTTTTATTTTTCTGACCAAATTTCCATTAGGAATTCTTGGACAATTTGTTTATCCAAGTAGTGTAATTTCAATGTATTATGCAAAAGTGTCCAAGACTTATATGTGGAAGCATATAAGATTAAGGATAGCATAAGGGAAATATGTTCAGCTTTTTGGTGGCAGTAGAACTTAAATGAATGTTGAGGCCTGAGCCTCAGACATCCTGTTTATTTTAATTGTAACGAGATGCACAGGTCTGTACTTTTGTTAGATTGTATAAAAATTTGGTCCAATAACATAATGCATCGTCTTAATTCTATGTGCTGATTTAGTATACTGGACTATCATAGCGATTCGGACACTGAGCTTTATCTTAACCTCCTCTGTCAAGTTTCATAGCTTGTAACAGTTCCCTTATTAAGCAGTTTGTTTTGGGAGTTTTTGTGGGTGGGAATTACTAATTTCATACAGTTTAAAGATGCATCTTGTTCACTTATGTGAATGTTATTTCACCATGCTGGCCATTATTTCAACAAATTAAACTTGATTATTTATTACCTCTTCGATGGGAATTTGAAATATAAGTAGCTTGATATCCAATTACTTATTCAACCTGATTTAAAAATGAAGTCTTGCTCTATGAATTGACAAAGTTTGCTTACACTGTAAAATAATTTCCTCACTGTTTACTTAGTCTGAAACCTCTTGGAAACTTTAGTTTTTAAATGCATAACTATACTTAATAAATTTCAAGAGGTACAGTTCTGTAGCACAGAGAAAGCTCACGATGCATACATCCTTGCTGACCTTAGATTGTGCTTGCCTGCCAGTCTGCTTGTTGTTATAAATGCACTCCTTACTGCAATACATGCAGAGACATTTGAGTAATACATTAACTCTGTATGAATCTGCTGCATCAGGGAATCTCAGCATCCACTGCGTACCCACTCTATTTTTTGGTCATGTGATTGCAAATGAGAAAATGTTTTCATTTTACCCAAACAAATTCTTCACTGAAGCAGTAATTTTTGGCTGGAAGATGAAAGTGCATCAGACTGCTGGCTAGCAAGTTGTGTACAAACCTGTACAGTGTGGCATGAGTTTAAAGGTGCAGCTTATGAAATTTAGATTACTGCTTTAATGTGTTACTGAATTGGAAGCAAAGTTTCAGAACTTCCAGTCTCTAGAAACTTAGCACTGCGAGAAGCTGCGATCGTTCATGTGATACAAGGAAGAAAAATCACTGAACTGATAGGGCCGAGATGCCCTACCCTGTATTTATTTACTATCTAGATTTAAGTTCTTGACTTAAGACATTCAGTCTCAGTTCATATACATATATAAAAATGGATCTTATGAGACTGAACATGGTAAGCGAAGAACCTCAATACTTCAGTGTGTGTGTGTATGTATATACACATATATATGCCTAAATATTTTAGTACATATATGTGTAAACATACTTCTGGGGAACTTAAAATAAATACAATTAACTGAATTTTTCCAGTCTGTTCCTTTGATTATGCCAGGATTTCCTTGACTGGCATCAGAAAGAAAATTTATTTTTCAGAATGGGGTGTATGGAGTTCTTGTTAACTAAATGACTAACAAATATGAGCTATCGGTAAAATAAAATTGACTTTGAAATAGTGGAAGAGGAACCTGGTGGCTGGATGTTCTCAAATGAGATGTTCCCATCCCTCTGCATTGCTCCAGCAGTGTGCCTGAGGCAAGCAGAAGATGCATTCCAAAAATCAAGGTATTCTAGTTTGCACAGTAGCATGCTCTTTTTTTTTTTCCCCCCCTGCACCAAAAGCAGCATCTGCTTTTAGTTTTACTGATCTCTGTGCAACAAAATTAATTTTCAATTCATTTCAGATTTTTTTTTTTTATGTCAGGCAATATTCAGCTGCTTACTGATTGTTTCTGTTGTCCCATCTACTGTGTCAGATAATGATACTGTTAGTTGATTTGGAGAGGAAATAAAAAAAGGAGGGAGGGAGTTGATCTGTAGGATTGTAGTATTACCTAATGCCCTTCTGATCTATGGTTACAGAAAAAAATGTAAGTTGGTTTTTAAAGCAAAATGATGAGGTAAACATGTTGGGTTGGTTCTGTGTGTTTGATTTTTTTAAAAAAAAGTCTTCCTGGCTCTCAGTGAAGTTGTCCATTATAGTTGAGATATTCTGCATGAAACACTCCAGAAAGCAAAGGAGGGGAAGAGAATCACCACGCCAGGCTCCCTTCCTGGCTAGGTGACCCAGGAATATGAATTGTCTAGAGAATGCTACTTCGAGGATCACAAGGTCATTAAATGCTTGTCTTTCATCCACTGATAAGATTGTTTTTCTTTACCTAGTGGAATCCTTTGGGGTTTTCTCCAAAATCTTTAAAGTATTTAAATGGCCGCCTAATACTGTACTGAAAATTTAAGAAAATAAATACATTCCATGCTGAAATCTCAGTTGCCTCTCTCACCATTTTGTCTTTAAAGATTTAAAGCATAATAAGTAAGGGTAAATTAAGTTATGAGAAGGATAAAAGGATTTCTGTGCTGGAACTGCGTGCTGCTTTTCTATCAGATGTTTATGGTGCTTAAAGCTACTCTAGTAAAGATTTTGTCTTTACTTTCTAAGGTAAGTGTTCCTCTAAAATAGCATTCTGATATTAAGAAGTTCTGATTTTGTTTTCTTTAAGTCTCATACCTCATTTCTCAGTATTGAAACAAGTATATTTTTTACCCTTGCTGTCACTTCCAACATATTTATCATTTGCTATGCTGTGTACTGGGTGCATCTTTTTCATCAGTGACTAGTGAAACCACTTGTGATGCTTCAAGTTTGTATGCTACAGGAAAAGCTTTATGTTTGGGGGTGTGGTGTTGCTTTTGTATTTTCAAAAAGAAAAAGAAAGTGTCATCACACTTTCCTGTCTTAAGGTCCAAATCAGAGTGGTATTTTTTTTATTTAAGAAGACTAAAGTAATTCAGACTTTGATATCTAGGAGATACAATTTTGTTTCACTTTCCTTATGGCTTTCATTTCCAACTCTAGCTTTACATCAGTATGTGTCTTAGTGTGAGAGTAAATACTAGTTCCCTGTGAAATTTTCAAGTAAATAGTTTTATTATATTTTATTGGAATACAAAAGGTTTACATCCAGCAAATATATTTGGTAATTAATAGTTGAGAGTGATAAATACAGTCATGAATAATCATTATTAAAATACACATTTTAAAATCACTTATTTTTTTAATCTGACTAGTGATAACTAGTATGAATTGAAATATACTAAACACATACAAAAATACATTTGTAATGGAAAAAAAATTGAATGCTTTCAGCATCCTTAATGCAGTCTTAACTTACATGAGCAATAGTGAAAAGCTAACATTTGTTGGCAGGGATGACTTCCAGTGCCCTGCAAGAAGTATTTTTAAAGTAGAGTTTTATTCTGGAGTGTTACTGTGTAAAAGCACATCTTAGGTTTCTTTTTTATTTTTATTTTTTTCTAGTTAAATAAAGTAAGTAAAAATACTATTTCAGCTGTAGAAACTCAACCTTGTATTCTTGGTGCATTGCCTTCATTTGTACACAATCACCAGTTCTGGTGGTTTTGCAGGCAAATCTGTTTGTGCAGTTAATTGTTTGGAATTCGTAAACAGTTCTTTTGAGCGCACATAATAAGGTAAACCAAAGTTCAGTCTTTGCTGTGGTAACTGTGTGGTGTGAAATAAAAAGAATTGTCACTAAAATCAGCTGCTATCCTGCATACATGAAAGTTTCACATCTGAATGAGGAGCTGTCATCCAGTATAGTCATGAACTTTGTAGAAGCTCAGTTTGAGCTGTAAGTACAACTTCTGGTATGCACCAAGCAGCAAACAGTGCCTGAATATTATACAACACTGGTGCAGCGTATAAATACATATATACTCAAGAAAAAGATGTTCAAGGTAAAGTAATGCTCATACGTGAATCAGGATTGTGGATCCATAGAGCATAAATTACTAAGCCTATAAAATACTTAATGGCCACCCATTGTCTGCTTATATTTCTTCTACAAAAACTAACAGTAACCTCTCAAAATTATTTATGTCTATACTGAGTTTAAAGTGTACGTGCTTATGTGCGTCTCTGTAATCTACTTGCTACTGAGAGGGTGGTTGTGGATATAAATTTCATGTTCTCAAAAGATGAAACTGCAGGTATTGTGCCTCAGCAAAAAGTTTGAAGTCTTAGATAGGACAGTTTAACTGTCACCAGAAATTAAGCAGTGAAGTGTCTATGTACATATGTATACATAATTTGTTTATTAACAAAAAAAATAGGAATCTGATGTTCATAGAAACCATTAAAAAAACTAATCCCAACTTCTG